ATCCAAGGTCGCTTGCCTGCTTTGCCTCACCGAGTCATTATTGCCCCCTCCCACACGTCACTCCCGTCAGCTGCAGTGGTGACAGTTTCAGAAGATCAGATAGACATATTTAGAGACGATCCCCCAGTTCGTCTCAGAAATCTTCTTATCTAGTACCGCACATCCGGCAGCTCCAACCCGATCCCTTCTTCACATCAAGCTTGACTTTCGACAAGTCATCCCCAAAAGTCACAATGGCCCCTTCCGTCCTCCGCCTCGCCTCGTGGCTTGCTGCCGCCGCCAGCTTCGTCTCCGCGGCCCCCATCCAGGCCCGTGCCGTCATCGACCACGATGCCGTTGTTGGCTTCCCTGAGACCGTCCCCTCAGGCACCGTCGGTGCTCTGTACCTCAAGTACAAGCCTTACCTCAAGGTCGTGAACGGCTGTGTTCCCTTCCCTGCCGTCGACGCCGCCGGTAACACTGGGTATGCTCTCTCACTCTCATACCACGTCTCACACAGAACACTAACACTTTCCAGCGGCGGCCTCGCCACCTCCGGCTCTTCCAACGGGGGCTGCTCCTCCTCCACCGGCCAGGTCTACGCCCGCGGTGGCTCCTACAACGGCGCCTACGCCATCATGTACTCCTACTACATGCCCAAGGACTCCCCCTCGTCCGGCCTCGGCCACCGCCACGACTGGGAGAACACCGTCGTTTGGCTCTCCGCCGCCTCCGACTCCGCTACCGTCCTCGGCGTCGCTGTCTCCGCGCACGGCGAGTACGACACCAAGACCTCCGGCATCAGCTGGACTGACACCACCCACCCGCGCGTCGGCTACCAGAGCATCTGGCCCGTCAACCACCAGATGATCTTCACCAGCGACCAGGGCGGCCAGCAGCCCCTCATCGCCTGGGAGTCGCTCACCGACGCCGCCCGCACCGCGCTCGAGAACACCGACTTTGGCAGCGCTAACGTGCCCATGAAGGAGGCCAACTTCAACAACAACCTCGGCAAGGCTGCTTTGTAAGTCTGTTTGCCTTGGTTGTAAGGGGAATGATGGGATGATGATATTCTACTATTTTAATCGGGAGGCACGCGACTACTTGGTCCGGCCTCAGGGATGACTTTCATGCACATAACTTCTTAGTATGGAGCGAGGACTGGGTTTCCTCTGACGACGGCTCCTTAATACATAACCATATTGATATCTCGAACTCGAGGCTTCATGAATTGCGATGTGTTGTGATGCGACAGGAGTGATCTGCGAACCCGAGCATACGAAGGCCACTAACACGCGGATCGCCCAGGAACAGCGCACATCAAGGCAATCACAATCTCTTGGAATCCGACTTCCCCGAACCGTCAATCCGGCCGAGAGAGCCCGCAAACTCAATTCTCAATCGTTTGCTCTTCCAATGTAAATGAGGAGAAGCTAAGACTTATTTTTTGCGGGCAGTCCCGCTAACCAGCAAAGCATAAATGACGCCCACACCACTTCAGCGCAACAGGGTGGCCGTTGCTGTTCAGCTCCTGGCAGTGCCGTTTATGCGGTTCTCCAACACACACCAAATTCCCAACCCCTCACTGGTGTTGCTTGTTGCCTGCCGAACATGGCAACATACCTCCGATGCAAGCTTACTTGGAAAAGTTGGAAAATCATGGAAAAACTTATCCCATGTGATTTCAACAGCCCGATCTAAGCGCTTGAATTAGAGTACAAATTGACCGCCGATCACTTCTCGTCACGGCACGAACTGGTACTTTACAAGAGCCTCGGGCTTGGTCCGTGGGAAGGGAACCTTTGAGGCGGGATGGGCCGCACACGAGTCACGGCACCGCGCGCGCGCATGCACACACAAGAGTCTAAAGGGAGATCGAAGATTCAATCAAAACAACACACATCCAACCGGATACGTCGGCTTTTTCAGGTAAAACAGATTGATAAGATTCACCGGAAACTCGCATTCTGCACGTTTAAACCGGGGAGCGGGGGGCGGTCCCATCAGAGACGAACTGGTGGTCGCCGTTGAGCTCAAGATTCGCCCACGTGCTGGATAAGGTTGCCGCTCTTTCCAAAGTGTAAGTGGGTCTCTGACCCCGCATTTGGCGCGTCTGAAGGCTCTTATGCGCCATTTTCGCCGCCTTCCCCAACACCAAGAGGCCCTATGGCGCAACGGTAGCGCGTTCGACTCCAGATCCGGTCCTGCGACCGTTTCTGATACGATATCGAAAGGTTATCCGTTCAAATCGGGTTGGGGTCATTTCTTTTGCCTTTTGGAGCATCTGGAGATGTTTCTTTTTGTTGTTTTGATGCTTCTTGATCATGTTGAGCCGTTTGTGTCAAGATTGGGCGAGTTTTGTGATTCTGGGAGAAGGCGCAGATAAGGCAACTTGTGTCTCATATCTTTGGAAAGCGCTCACTCTCATCCCCGTTCTGACAAAATCTGACGGAGCCCGTGCGTGGCTGCGTTGAGATATGGGTGAATTTGGTCTTGGTGTGGGAGCAATCTGTCAATTTTCACTCAAATCTCACCTTGCTGTCTCACCGAGGGAATGTGCACAGGCCATCGGCACAGTCGGCCCCACAACCACCGAAGACCGGCTCCGGTCCGAATGCACCATTTAGGCCCTTTTCCGTGGATCCCGGTGGGCTTCAATTCAATTCACTCCCATATGCACGCTATTGACGACTCAGGTAGTAGATATTTCTTGTTTCTCAATATTATCAACACATGAATAGATGCTGTGCCGTATTAACGCCTTACAATTGACTAACGCCTGTTAAACGCCACGGCCGTAAGACCACGTCGCGTTCTTCAAATCTGTCTCCAACAATGCTACCACCTTTTCGTATATCTCTTGCCGAAAGTTCTCGTCATTCAAGTCAAGTTTGGGCCGCGCGAATTCTCCCCCAATGCACCTTTGCACGGCACTCTTGTAATTCAGGCTATCCATCTGCCTCTCCTGCAGCAGCCTCTGCGCCGTCATGGAGTCGTACATCAGTCTTGGAGCTCCAGGTGGAGGTGTCTCATACTGGATCCGAAGCGACTCAATCGTGTGTCCCAGGTTCAGCTCTAGCAGCAAGATCCCGAGAGCGAGCAGTGCAGGGCAGCGACTACTTGGTGCCGAATTGTTTCCTTTCTGTTTATCTTCTAGCCTTTCGTGTAGGCCTTTCATGACGAAGGCATGCTCGTATCGCAGCTCCGGCCCTCTTTTCAAGAACAAGATGTCGCGGCTTGTCAGAATTTCTGGAAGCCATGGCGTTTGGTGAAGTTGAAGAAAGCTGGATGCTATCATAGCTGCCAGGTGCAGCTTCGCCGACACCGGCATATGCGGGAACTCCAGCGGTCTTTCCAGGACCTCTCTCAGTGAAATTATGGACCACTGATCGCGGTCTGAGCCAAATGTTGGGTAGACGCCGAATTCCCGGCACACCTGACCACAGCGATCTCTGATCATCCCATAGCAATCGAAAGCGAGCTGCTTCTGACTCCGACGAATGCGTTCGCAGAGGTTGATGTGATCATGCAACCCCAAATTTGAAGAGCCGATACTCAGAGACGAGAAGGACTGCTGGACAACCATAGTCGAAGTCTGCCCAACGCAAGTTGTAGTGGCAGTTGCTGAGTGAGACGTGGTAAAGCTGACGCTCTTGCTTTTTCCCATACCAGGCATCTTTGTCTTCGAAGGCCTCCCGACGGATGTTAAAGTCTGAGCTGTCGCCTTTGGAAGCGCCTGAACGCGGACTTCCTCCCACGCCACCCGTTCACAAGGTTCCTTCTCGTCGTTTGCCGTTTTTTCGATCTTGTCGTAAGTCAAAGCCAATTGGAAAGCGAGTTTCTGAATGACATCCTCGTCTTCATCCTTCTGCGCGAGCTCGACTGAACGTGAAACCAGACCAAGATGGACCTCGTGTGCGCAGCTGCATTGGAAGCTCGACCGTAGTGCACGGTATACGCTGCCCGATATCTCCCGGACAAGTCTCATGAGTCGCCCTTGAGATCTCAGTTTTCTCTCTGGTTCCATCTTGATGTTGCGATCAATCAATGACTCCAAGCTTGTGATTCCATCCTTGATCGTCGTCATCTGTTCTGCATGGTCTGATCTCTTCAGGACGAATGAGGCGCGCTTGAACTCTCTTATGATAAAAGTGGCCTCTTGCCATTTGATCTACGAGACGAGTTAGAAACCAGAGTCTCTCATTGACAAGGTACTTACCTTGCCATCCGGTTGAAGGTCGAGCTTTTTCATCATTTCCTTGGTCGCTTCTTCCATGTCTTTGACAACATCCTCAAAAATGCTGAAGGACCTCCACAGCCTAGCCTTGATTTTGGCTTGGATTACGTCTTCTTGCCATGCTGGACCAAATGGATCCTCGACCATGGATTCAATCTGACAAGGCGAAACCAGCCCAACAAGAAGCTTTTCGCAAACATCCTGAAATCTGACCCGCTCGGTTTCTAGACTCAGGATCAGGATGCGAAGCTCTCTGTTATAGTTCCGCCAAGTGCGGATCGTCGAGATGCCCTGCTTGTAGTGCTCAAGTGCCGAGATGACCAAGGGAATGGTTCCCAAGACGACGCCTGCCACCTCGAAGCCGGACATCGCGAGCGCGTCAAATTTGAACGTCCTGAGGTAATTCAGACGACGTTAGTCTCGCTACGGCGGAGTAGTGACCCCTCAGCTGAAAAGTTGGTTCAACAGTAAGCGGCAGCCTGATCCAGTCCCCTGCATGCTGACGGCTCTTGATTCGTTCATTCTGCGGGGGTTATCAATGTTCGCAAGTAACCCCCACTGAGGTGATACATAATTTCACTCAGTGCTGCCGCCAATAGTTTCCTCTGTTCATATTGCTTTGTTTTCAATAATTTGGATCTCTTTATTTCAGAGACTAGTCCGGGTCATTAAATACTGTTGTTGACTTGTAGCTTCGGCTCGGCCAGTCGACCGAGGGCACTTAGGTCGGTTCCAGAATCATTTGACGATTTAAAGAGCAGGCCATGTCTAAAATCACCCGAAGATGAGCGAAGGTATCAAGGAAGTGGTCGTTGAGGTGCTTACCGGCTTCAATCGCCTTTCAAAAAGTATTCAAGAGTCCGACGACACCTCGCTTCGAGTATCACTCCCTCCGAAGATCGACGATGAGCTGGCTCGATTCAAAGTCTGGGCCGGAAATAGCGGCGCGCACCGAAATGGTCGAGCTTCTCTCGAGCACCGCCTCCGTGAAGCGTCTCATGTTCGACAACAGGTCCTAAGGCTCCTGAGTGGCCTCAAAGATTCTCTCGAAGACGCGGCAGACATCATGAACGGAAAAGCAACTCCGTGGGAGGAGATGGAAGACGACGAAGAGCCCCTAGATGATCTTGAGATGGAGACAGAAATGGAGCAAATTACGCTGGATGTTACAGAGTTAGTCGACTGCCTCCTCCGTCTCAGCGTCTCTATCCAGAACCCGGCACCTCATGATCGCTTCATGTCTTCCACTTTTACAGACGCATCCGCGTATGAGGACTTCGATATTCAACACGTTCAAGCCAAGTTTCAAGACATTGACGAAGACCTTGCCCAGCGTCTGGGCAAAGCCATGTCTCGAAGGCGCCAGTACTTCAAGTACAGGGAGGCCCATCATCAGAAGCTTTCACATGGTTTAGACCGTCATGGGGACACAAACAAAACGGAGCCAACACTTCCCGCTCCAAGCATCCTTGCTTCATCCATACCTCTCCAGATGAAGCAAGGGGTTCTCGCCGACTTTTCAGGAGACGATACTCAATCAGATGGAAGAGCCTCAGCGACGTCTTTCGCCACGTCTGTCTCAGGCCCAAAGACACTGAAAGTTCCACCAATGCCTGAACACGCCCTAAAAGGACCGTTCATGTGTCCCTTTTGCTATTTCATTATTTCTGTGCAAGATACTAGGGCCTGGAAGTAAGCCAACTCGTACGTTTATCTCTTGGATTACCACGGCTCACTCACGAAACTCAGGAAACACGTGTTTCGCGACCTTCGACCTTACAACTGTCTGGCCCTGCATTGCGCGGCACCAGATCGAGAGTTCTCAGGACGAAACGAGTGGATGCAACATATGTCGCAAGATCATTTACGAGTGTATCGCTGTCCATACGGTTGTCCAGACAACTTTCCCTCTGCAGCGGAGTCTAGAGACCATCTGCTGAGAGTCCACAATGGAGCAGTTCCTGAAAGCAAAGTCGATGACATCGTGGAGTTGAGCTCTCACCCCCTCGCAAAAGATGCTCATACGAATTGCCCATTCTGTCCGGCAGAGTTAAAGACGCTGAAGGAATATCGGCGACATGTCGGAAATCACCAACAAGACCTCGCTCTATTTGTCTTGCCCCACGCCGACTGTGATAACGATGATACTCAAGAGGTTCTTTCACGAAGCGAATCTGGTACAGGTTTGAGCGTTCGCGTTCTAGAGCGAGAAACACTTAACAAGACGTCGCTACAAGACGATTTTGAGCACCACGGGTCTGGCTCCGGCCATATTGTTGGCGGACTCGAGAATCCCATCACAGAGCTTGGTTCTGTAAAAGCAAAGACCAGCGATCGATTTTTCGACTTAGATGACCTTTCCAAATGCGTACAAGAAAAGGGTGGGTATGCGACAGTGACGAAGAACAACCTTTGGAATGACGTTTGTGCATCCCTCGGTGTAGACAGTGATGAAGAGACTACAGTCAAACGCACTTACGCAACGTATCTACTGGAGTATCAAGATGACTTGGCAAAAGCCAATTCTCCACATGGCAAGAGTCCGGAGGGATTCAATTCGGGAAAGAACGTAGAAGCATTGGTCTCTACTTCCGAGAAAAACACAGCATTACACAGGACTTCCTCGGACGTCGAGTCTGCTCACTCCATTGAGTTCTCGGGCGACATTCCCGCCGATAATGATCAGGCAATCACCTCTGTGGAACGCGTTACAGACATCGACACCAGCCTGCAGAAAGGAAACATCGTCCGCCAGTTAGCCGCAAAGAATGGAAGAGAAGCAGAGGAAGATGAAAATGTTGAGAACGTTACGTCGTACGAGAGCTCTCACGACGCCCAAGCCATCGACGATTTCGAGCCAAAGCAGATCGAGCCCACCACTCGAAGATCCCCCAACCACTCAGAGCTTGAAATCATGAGTCCTTCGTCTCTTTTCGACAAGAAGTCAACCGCTTTTGGCGCAGATGTCTTGGACTACTTTGTGTTATCGGAACGGCTATCACAGGAACACGGTCAAGCTCTGGAGCGGAACCGGCCGAGTTCGGCCATGGGGATTATCACAACATCCCAGTCTTCGTCTGCCTCTTCGTCGTACGACGAGCCGTCCTGGAAAGACTTAAGAGAGAAGAGTGATTCTCCCACCAACTATGAGAAACAAATCAACTCTGTAATACCGAGCTTGCAGAGACAACAGTCCTTTGACAGTGATAAAGGGAACCGGCTAGCTCAAAGAACGTTGAGAAGGGCGAGCGACGACTCGTCTGGCATCGACATTGGTACTTCGAGGGAATTCACAGAAGACCGTTTGAAGTCTCTCAGCATTGATGCTGGCCCTGGTAACAAGCGTCGAGCATCCTCTCCGCCGGACGCAGACAATGTCCTTGACTCCGCGTCCCTCAAATCGGAGCCCGTAACGAGCGAAACTAGAGCTGGAAGCTCTCAAGTCTCATTAGCAGAGGCATTGGGTGAAGACACAGAGACAGACAACAAACGCACAAAAGCAAAGGTGCTCTACGATTTCACTGGAAATACACCGAACGAACTCACGGTGGAAAGCAACGATCTTGTCGACATCCTGCATCAGGGTGACAAAGGTAGGATCTCATTTCATCGTTGAAATGGGTGGGAACTAACTCATTTAGGTTGGTCATTGGCGATGAACGAGAAGCAGCCGGGGCCTGCCTGGATACCTACTGCTTACGTCGAAGAGCAGACGACTGCTACAGATGAACAATCTTCTGAGGAAAGCAATCACACAGAAGAGATGCCAGAAGCCCAAGAGAAGCCAGAAAGACAGAGTCGTCCATATACTTCCGTAGCTGAAGTCGACGAAGCTGTTTTAGAGGAGAAAATCCCGCAGCCGCCGTACTTTCAGCATACAATGACGAGACCCCCCACCTACAGAACACCATCAATTGCTGATGATGCAAAGGGTTCCAGGCCTCGAGCGCCCGTCGAGTCAGCGCGTGGGCCCATATGGAGAGACGCATTGAAAAGGTTCAGCGAGGACGTTTCGCGACGGGGTCGAGGCAGAGAGCCTTTGCCAGCACAATATTCACAACAAGCTTCCTATTTCGAGGCTCCAAAGTTCGACTCTTCAGCCCAGTTCAAGCCTCACCTCGCAAATAGGTTTCAGAAGCCACAATCATTCCGAGATTCTTATGATGCAGGCTCTGTCGAGCCCTTAACTGCCGAAACCCTCAAAAGGTCTCAGAGATACCATACAAGCTTCTCCAGCGATGGTGGCCGTTACGAGAGCCATTACCGACAGAGCGCCTCGACACGGGCAACGCGAGGTAGTACTATCGGAGACGAGGATATCACCATCAAAGTAACTGGTAGTGCAGTCCTCAAAATTGGCGCCGCCGGAATTCAGTGCCAGGATGGCGGTGAAATCAACATTAATCGAGATAGTAGCCCTGGTCGTAGCGGAAGCATCATCTCTCAGCCAAGCCGTTCTGATCGTGGTGAAAGTCCACCGAGCCGAAGGGTAGCACGGCCGTTGCCTGTCCGGGCCCGCGCTGATTCAGGGGATGGTCGTAACCAGGATGGCGAAGATGAATACGTGCCTCAGGCCAAGCCACCTTTCTTCTAGTCAGACATAAGTACCAATACCGGGGCCCCAATATCAATGATTCAAATAAAGCCTGTGATGTAAACGAACGGATTGCGGTTCAGCTACTCAAAGAGGCAAAGATTTAGAATATACCAGTGTACAGAACCCCTCGTCAAGAGGAAGGACTGTCAAGTATCGCCGAGGAACCACTCAAAAGTATAGAACCTCGACCCGATGGAAACCAATTTCCTCCCGAATTTCAAGAGACTAGGTAGCTGAATTAGGACCCAGATATTTGAACGAAAAGCAAGATACTTGAAACTAACAAGATAGGTTGGAGCACAGCATTACAAGATCGGCCATTGAGGGCTTTCCTAGCGACGAGTTTACGGCACCCACAGACGCAGTAGACGAGAATATAGAGGATGCGTCTGAGAAGATGTACATCTTATAAAAGGAAAGTTTTAGGGGAGGGCATTACACGGGGAGAGGCTCAAGTCTGTTGCTCAATATCCAGAGAATGAACCAACCGCTAATAACTGCCCAACAACGAGAATGTTCTCTAGTTTCCTTATACAGAGATCTCGGCCACTGCATAACCACATGATGCTCGAACTCCACAGCGGCCTTCAGCTTCAAGAATCGTGGATGATCTGGTTTTACGGAGACGCCCACGAGAACTACCCAGAAGCAACATGAGATTCTGGCGCGCCAGCTGGTAGAGACTGGCAGCCCCTGGCAAGAGATGGCCCGGCATCCCTTTTATCAGACAACTTCAATGTTTGACTCGAATAAGGTTTTCAGCAGAACCAGCATCATACACATCATTACCACGTTCGCTACAATCCGTCATCATGGAAGAACTAAGCAGAGAGTTGGATGGGAAACTGAAGTTGGAAGACGTCCCTGAGAGCGATCCGAAGTCTCAGTCAGATCCTGTAAGGCAACAACCGAACTCCGGGAGACCCTACCACTTTTTGGGTCTCAATGATGCGCCTGGAGACAGGGTTAAGGCTTTTGAGGGGCCGAATGGGGAGGATTCTCAGAAAACAGACGCCATGGAAGCACTGACCAAAGAGATGGATAGAAAACTGAAGCCGGAAGGCGGTGTTACTGCTTCTTCCAAGGGGCCAGAACCGCTTGAGAATGCCTCCAGTACTCCGGAAACCGGGACGGACTCTTCACCTCAGAAACCACAGCAAACGTTCTCTTTCACTTTTGACGAAGGAAATCCTCGAACGGCCGCCAGCCTGGGGCGATCCACGGGAGACCAGGCACTCAATCCAAGTGCCCCTGTCTGGACACCTTCACCCTCGACGACGAAAGAGCATCCCTTGCCTATTCGTCTTCGAGAGGGGCCTTCACAACAGATGCCCAGCTCTGAGGATACACAAAAAAACGAAAAAGATGTATGGCGTGCTATGGAGAACGAGGGACATGATGGTAAAGCAACGCAGACCAAGGCCATCTCGAGTGAACCCAGGGTCGTGAACGCCAAGGCCGACCGCCAATCACAAACAATATGCCGGAACGTGGTGATATATGGCCATTGCCGAAACGAAGGAGTCGGTTGCGGCTTCAAGCATCCTTAAACGAAGAAGGGCGGAACCACCCTGAAGACTCTGGGATCTTGAATGATTAGCTGCCTTTCGTTGCTCAAGCAGAAAACTGGACACCTAGACGGGGAGGACGGCGCATATTCACTTTCAAGACAGACAAATCGGGTAGACCAATACTTTTTCATTATACCTCCTCCCACACATCCACGAAGAAGCTACAGGGAACGACTGCTACCAAGATGCCACCCGACGCCACCCCAGCAGCTTTGCCATGCAAAACAGGTGATGATAAAATAAAAAGATGGAAGACACCAGTATAAAAAAAGTGAAGTTTTTGTGGCTTGAAGAAAGACTCAACAGCAACTACATCAAAAAAAAGGGGGTATGTCATTACGGGGGGAGGAGTGTGTTACATCGAGGTGGCAAGTGCGTGCGCTATGTGACCAAGATATTGCTGAAAGCATCCGAGATCTCACTCGGGGTCGGGGCTTGGAACTTTTCTTGCGTGTATCCAGCGGCGAGGCGCTCCTGCATCAATTTCAGCAGAGCTGCGGGGACGCTCTCGTCGGTGGCTCGGATGGTGAGACGTATCATCTACACTTTATTAGTAATGGTGATGAGAGGGAATGCAGAGGGCAACAAACCTGAGTTCCGTAGTTCGGCTCCAGGCGCATCAGGCAACCAAACTTGCCAGATTCAGAGGTATGCAAAACACTAGCGCCGACAAAGTTCTTCGCGTTGGGGTCAACGCCGTCCAGGATGCGCCATCTGAAACCTTCGACCGTCTGTCTGATGAAGAACTCATTGATCGATCTGTCACCTTTACCGGGCGACAAGCCAAAGATGCCCTGAGCCTCGCGAGGCGCACCGCCAATCTGCTTCCAGCGCTTGAAAAAGTCTTCGGCGGTAAGATCGGCTGGGTCCATAAACTTGTGGGCAGAGAGGGGCAGCTTGAGGGTGACAGCCTGCAAGGCACCGGCGAGGTAGCTGATACGTATCGTAGGGCTCTTGTCGAATACTCTCTTGCACTCAAACATGATGACCTGCTGAGATTGTCCAGCCTGGTAGATTGTGCTTTCGGGCAGGTTCTTCACGTCCCACGTAAGTTTGCCCTTTTCCGCTTCGTCAAGGTCCAGTGTTGTCGTGAACGAGCTGAGGGCTGTGGGGATCTTGTTCTTGAAGTAAAGAATGAGACAAGCCATCTGGCCTCTGTACTCGGACCGCACTCCAATCTGGATCTGGCCATCCTCATACAAGACGCCCTCGCCCTTGAGGAGCAGCTTGTTGTATCCGACCTCCCAGTTGGGAGACAAGTGAGCTGCACTTGCCAGGTTAGGTGTCTTCGTCTTCGGCTCTGCAGGACCAATGTTCAACATGTCGATGCCGGCCAAGTCGGTCGCGCCATTGCCATGTCCATTCGTGCCGTTGGCGCTATTTGTTGGGGGATTGCCGTTCGTGCTGAAGGTCCGCTTAAGACCACCGTCCTTGGCCATCTTGAGCTCTGCCACGTCCGCGTTGGCATCCTTGCCGCCCACAACCCAAGTTCTCTTATCACTGGTGTTGGCATGCTTCTGATGCACTCTAGCAAGCAGTGCGGATTGTCTCTCGGGGAATGGCGGCATCTCGTCGCATACAGTCCGGAGTAGGTCGTCTGTCGGCATCGTCGCTAGTGTCAAGTACTCACATGCTCTTTGCTGCAGCTCAGAGTCGAGAGTGTGGCTAAACACTTGGAAAGCCTTCAGGAGTTGGGGCTTGATTTCGGGGAACAGGTTGACGTATTTGACGTAGCAAGATAGGATCATGGCCCGTGTACTTGACGAGCAAGCGGCAACCTTGCTTTGTAGAGCCATAAATTGCTCAATTGGGCTGCACTTGGGCTGGTCTGCGATGAGATGACCAAACTCTCCCAAGATGTATGCCCCAATCTTGACCAGCGTCTCGTGGCAGTGATCGGATTTAACGTAATGCAGGGAGTGCTGGGCCGCGTAAACTTGCAACTCCTCGTTATTCGTCACAATTTGGATGACACGCTGCCACACCTCATCGCTTACGTGATCGCCAGCCATGGCGATCAGACGAAGTGAGATGTCCACGTACCACTGAACATCGGTGGCGTATCGCTCGGTCAGAATAGCAATCTTGAGCACCATCTCCTCACGGATCGCGAAGTCGGCGTTTTGGAGGTAGTGCAGAAGCTCGCCGACAATAACCTGGGCGTTTGAGGAGTCGCACATGCTGTAAAGGAGGTCGAGACCTTTCCTCCGCACACTGATATCCCTGTCCTTGAGAGACCCGATGATGACATCTTGGTGCTGCTTGATGGGCTCCAGGGTGTCGATGCGGGCCGCCAGGTGCGTCATCGCCTCCAATCCCAAGTAGCGAACATTCGTCTCTCTTGAGGTCAGGAAGCGACCGAGGCGAGATGAGATTTGCTTAAGCAGCGCATTCTCATTGTCCAGGTGAATAATCAAGTTGATGGCCTCGAATAGAACGGCGTTTTGGGCGTTGTTCTGCTGCACGTTCTTGGTCTGCTCCATGGCGAGGTTCAGGATCTTCTGCAGCGACTCACGGATCATGTCCCGAACGTGTGTGTCGTCTGCTACAGTCAGCACGTCTCACACCTGACTCGAAACCAAGCAACTCACCTGAGGGAGGGAAGTACTGCAGCAAACGCAGAAGCTTAACCTGGATCCACGGGCACGGAACCTTGTAGTAGAGGTAATCGGGCGTGTACTCCCCGTCAATCAGTATCCTCTTCAACCTCGCAGCGGCCTTCGCGTATGCGCCCTTGTACTGGTTGAGGTTGTCCTGGGCGAGGGTCATGACGAGTGATGTGACTGACAGCGCCACACCAATGTCCACGTCGTCCATCAGAGAGATGATGCGCTCGGCCCATTGCGGCTGGACGATATCGGGGTTCTTGCGGTACAATCGGAGGAGGGTCAGCGAGGCCTTCTTCTTGACGAATGCCTTAGATGTCCTGCGTCTCGTTAGCTAGAGCTCTCAATCGTAGCACGGCTGCACATACGGCGAGATCAAAAGCCTGTGAACCTCTCCACTCAGAGCCTCTCCCATTTCCCTGCCACCAACGTTGGCAATCGCGTGGAGAGCCAAGCAGTTGAACAGCTCGTTGTGATCCAGCAAGTCCTTTCGTATACTGTTGACGACCAGGTGCAGCAGCTCGTGCTTCTCGTGCAGGAAGAGGGTCATGGCCAGGTAACCAATCTGCTTCTCCGAGTACTTGTTCGCCGAGATGAGGTTGACCGCCTCGAGGTGGCCGAAGTCGACGTTCCATCCGAGAATGTAAATGTAGAGGAGCTTCGCAATCCGTCAGCGCAAACGCCTTGCCAAACACCGGAGGGCCGTCCGTACCTTGCACACGTATTTCTTCTTGTGGTATCCGCTGAGGTTTCCATCTGCTCTGTCGTCAGTGCCGCTACACCACGCCGCCCGTACGCAATCGGTTCTCACCCTTGAACTTTTGACTGCAAGCCAGCTCTGTCAGCAAACCATCACGAGACCGCCATCTCCGGACGCGGGGCACACTCACCGAATGTTGGCCAGCTCCTTGTTGATACGCTTCTCTTCCAATTCCCTCGCTCTTGCGTTTCTCAAATCGGCAATGAACTGCACCAGGCCTCGCATGTTGGAGTTGTTGCTCGTCGAGCGGCCGAGAAAGCCGCTGCCTCCGGACGACATGACTGCGGTTGGTGTCGGGTTCGTCGGAGAGTTCCAATCCTATCTGCTCTTTCTCTCCTCGCGTCTTGCCGATGGGTCGGGAAGATCGTCAGCCGGACTGGCGTCGTCGGTGTCGCCACGTCGCGGGCTTGAGCGCGGTTTGAACTCGGTGCTCGGAGGGCGGGCGGGGATGATGTTCCTCTCTCTTCGCTTCGATGAGGGAACGTTTCGTTTGCTGCTGCTGCTGATGCTCTTCGACGAGCGTGGGGGCGATCACTCCATGCGCGCGAGGAGGTCGTCGAGGTTCTGATCGGGCACCCAGCAGCTTTCGCGTGGCAGAGTGGGCGGCTTTTTGGGTAGGAAACTGATCGGTCGGTTGGACGGTGGACTCGGGCGAATCGAACTCGAAACCGGCCGGCAAGTGCCGCTTAACAATGCGTTTCCCCGTTGGCGTGCGGGAATGTGAGAACTGAACGCGGTGTCTATTTCTTTTTTCCCCTTCTTCTTGTCGACTCGACCGCAGGGTTGGTGAGTTTCTGACGATTGATTCAAGAAGCCAGGCAGTATGTCGACTCCCGACGTTGCACTGGGAAATTGAAATTCCAAAAGAGCGAAAAAGCAGCAGCAAGACCAGGGAAAGGGGTTCGAGGGGGGGGCGTGTGGGTGAGAAGAGGGACCCGCGGCGGGAAACGACACTTTAGAGCAAGACAGTGGAGGCCCCGGAAGGCTTGGGACAGAGGTCCAGTGGAATACTTAGTGTTCCGTCTACTTTCGGGCTGTGTGGAGATGAGCAGCGTCCAGTCCGGGACAACAACAGCAACTGTATCTGTAGGTAGGTACGTCTATCTGGTCCGCCTGTCAAAAGAACTCACGGGCACTAAGCCGCTGCAAGGTCAATGTCAGAGCTGCCGCCAGCCTTCAGGTGCCGTACATCATACATGTGCCTTCCACCCCGTAGAGCACCCCGTGTGAGATGCAGGTAGTTTGCTTGTTGCTTGAAGACTGGGCGCGTCAGGGGTTGCAAGGTACTTCCCCCGAGCGCCGGGCAGTGTAGGGCGCGTGCTCTCTAAAACGGTCTGAACCTGAACCTGTCCACCCCGGCGATGGTGCTGCTTTCCGAGGCCGAACCAATTTCGCAGCACGAGGACGGGACGGGCGGCCTGTGCAGCTGCCCTGGCCTGGGCGGAACGTGGAGGGGAGCTGCCGTCGTCGCCCTCGTCGTCGTAGGGGACTGCTCGGCGTGTGCCACTGCAAACAGTCGGGCAGCCTATCACACACCCCGTCATTGTAGTGACCCAAGGTGGTGCAGGCAGCTCAGATCAGGTACGTACCCTCAACACGCTAAACGATGCTGCTCTGCCGTCCTGCATCATCGAAGTCCCAAAATTCCCATTGGAAAGCTGCGGCGTCGGCAAGCTTCCCCTCGTACAGATCTAAAAGAAGAAAAACCTTCTTTTTTTGCCAATTCCTTACTCCCACAGACCCTTCTCTGCCTTCTCCGCAGCTGAAGTACTGACACGTCTACACAGTCCCATCCTCCATGTCCGTCAGAAATGCATTGCGCCGCCCAATGAACCACGCATTCAAACGCCTGTGCCTCGCGGCCCCAAACCCCCGGCTTCCCACCGGCGCCGTCTCCGGGCTCCTCCGGGGAAGCCCTGCCGCTGCTGCCGCCGCCTCTCGCCGGTCAGCCTTCACAGCCGCCGGCGCCCCGACCTTCCAGGTCTTCAACCGCCGCACAAAATGGCTGCAGAAGGAGCGCGCAGCCTCAAATCCCGAGGCCAGCAGACAGGCTGATTACCTCAAAGACGAAGTCGCCTCACGTCTATGCGAGAGGTTACTCGTAAATCTCCCTTCCCTAAAGCTCCAATGGACACACACTAACACGAAACCTCACTCCCAGGATATCAAACGCTCCTTCCCCCGCGTCCTCGACCTCGGCGCAAACTCCTGCAACATAGCCCGCGCCCTCACCCGCGAGAACCCGGACCCGGACCCCTCGAAGCCAATCTCCCCGCCCCTCGCCACCCGCATCGAGGAGCTCGTTGCCGCCGAGTCCTCCCACTCCCTCCTCCACCGCGACGCCGACCTCCCCTTCAACGCCGACATCAACATCTCCCGCCAAGTCCTCGTCGACGAGGAGCACGTCCCCTTCGAGCCCGCCTCCTTCGACCTCGTCCTCAGCTCCCTCAGCCTCCACTGGATCAACGACCTCCCCGGCGTCCTGACCCAGATCAACAACGTCCTCAAGCCAGACTCCCCCTTCATCGGCGCCATGCTCGGCGGCGACAGCCTCTTCGAGCTGCGCACCTCCCTCCAGCTCGCCGAGCAGGAGCGCCGCGGCGGCATATCCCCCCACGTCTCGCCATTGGCGGATGTCCGCGACGTCGGCGGTCTCATGCAGCGCGCCGGCTTCAAGATGCTCACCGTCGACGTCGACGACATCATCGTCGACTACCCAGACACCTTTGCCCTGATGCAGGACCTGCAGGCCATGGGCGAGGGCAACGCCATCCTCGGCCGCGAGATGGGCGCCATCAGGAGAGACGTGCTGTTGGCGAACGAGGGCATATACAGGGAGCTGCACGGCAACGAGGACGGCAGCATTCCCGCCACATTTAGAGTCATCTACATGATCGGGTGGCACGAGGGCGGCGAGCAGCCCAAGCCGCTACCCAGAGGATCCGGAGAGATCAACCTCAAGGACGTGCTCGAGTCCAGCTAGACACTCCCAGATTCGTTGTAACAAATAATGTAAAAACAAATTCGTAAAAAACGAACAAAATCTATGGCTTTCATTGTCGGCACGCCCAATCTGTCTACCACTTTTGACCAAAGGCCCATGCCCGCTCGTCATGAACGTCATTATCTCCACACAGACACTACTTCCACATCCCCCTTAAACCCGTCTCCAATCCGTCATGACACGACCGATAGATCCCAGCCCAGCAACATCGACAACCTTCTCGTGCCAGCTAAGCAGCACGCTCATCGCGCTGCCGACATTCTCGTTCGTGCCGCCGGGCCGTCCGCCAATCTGGCTGAACCCGCCTGGCGCAGCCTGCGGCGGCGGCGACCTCAGCCCCGAGGAACCACCAGCGGAACCCGCCATACCCTTGTAGATGTACTTCATGAGGACGTCGAGCAGCTCGGGGCCGCCGGGGGATCCGTAGATGGACTTGAGCAGGGGCGTCATCTCGGAGGCCTTAATGGACTGGAGGACCTCGGTGATGGTTTGGAGGTGGGCATCCTGTGACACACACAATCATTTAGCAACTTTGACCGACATGCCATGCCCGCCAGATTCAATAAAGCCTACCTTGGCGGCATCGGCGCCGTTGTACACCGGGAACTCCAAGCAACCCCTCAACGCGCCTTCCGCATCACCGCCCCTCAACAGCTGCCTGACTTGCCCAGCAAGCCCGCGGACCTCGGACTCGTCGATCTCGGGCTGAGGCGGGTGCAGCGTGGAGGTGTCAAAGTTGTGCGGCGAGTCCTCCTGCAGGGCGTCGATGTTGATGGTGCGCCAGGCGTCGCTGAGCGTAGCAGACGTGTGCTGCTGAATGATGGACATTGTGGCGGCGAGCTCGATTGATTGGAAGCTTCGAAGTGTGTTGTGGTAGGTGATGTGATAGGGTTAGAATGATCGTGTTACAAGACTAGCTGTGTGGGAAGTCTGCCGTTGTCGTCGCTCTATTTGTGGAATTGGCGGTCGGCGAGTCGTGGGTTTGCTCGGGAATCGTGCCTTGCGTAAGGTCGAGGTGAGGTAAGGTAGCCGCAGCCGATGGTGGGGAGTTGGCTTGGACATGGTGTGGAGGGTGTGGGGTTCGACGAGGCGGTGCGGCTGGTTGACGAAGTTGGTCCGTGCGGCATATGAATCCACGGCCAATATCAAAGCCCGCTGCAGATCAGCTTCCAGTGCATATGCGCCGTATAAAGACATCCCCGTTGTAGAAAACGATCACAACCTTGGGCAACCCATTTAGATCAACTAATTATATTGAATTCCAAAGCAAACATGACAAACATTGCACTTGAACCGCGACATGATAGGAACTACTAATTGCATGCCACTGTCTAGGTCCAAAAGTCGCCCACACTCTCGGGCCCCTCGTACGTATACACAAGAGGAGGCCGACGATCCCTCCGCTGTCGGCCCTCGAGGATATCATGCCACCGCACGCACGGCGTCTTCCGCTTATGCTTATGCGTCAATCAAGTTCTCCTCATTCTGCTGCACCTGCTGCCTCTGCTTGCCCTTGTCCTTGGCCTCCTTCGCCGCACGCTGGTAGAACTCGTTGAGGACCTTTCCGGGAATACGGTTGAGCAGCTCCTTGGGGTAGAGACGGAGCAAGCTCCACGCGAGGTCGAGAGACTCGAAAATGCTACGCGACTCGTACTGGCCCTGGTTGATGAACTGGCGCTCGAACTTCTCGAGGAACTCGAGGGAGAGCTTGTCCTCGGCAGACAGAGCCTCCTCACCGACGACAGCCTTCATGGCAGCGGCGTCACGACCGATGGCGTACTTGGCGTACAGCTGGTTGGAAACATCACCGTGGTCCTTGCGGGTCATGCCTTCACCGATGGCAGACTTCATGAGACGAGAGAGCGACGGCAGGACGTTGATGGGCGGGTAGATACCACGGTTGTACAGACCTCTGTCGACGAAAATCTGGCCCTCCGTGATGTAGCCCGTCAAATCGGGAATGGGGTGAGTGATATCCTCGTTGGGCATGGTCAAAATAGGAACCTGGGTGATGGATCCGTTGCGACCAGCCACACGACCGGCTCGCTCGTAAATGGTGGACAAATCAGTGTACATGTAACCGGGGTAACCACGACGACCCGGGACTTCTTCACGTGCGGCAGAAACCTCACGCAGAGCGTCGCAGTAGGCCGACAGATCGGTCAGAATAACGAGGACGTGCTTCTCGAGCTGGTAGGCGTAGTATTCGGCGGTAGTAAGGGCCAGACGGGGGGTAATAATACGCTCGATACTGCGGGCTGTCAGTCAAAGGTCTTTCAAGAGATGTTGGGTGAACTCACGTAGGATCGTTAGCAAGGTTGAGGAAAAGAGTAACACGCTCCAAGGAACCGTTCTCCTCGAAATCGCGGGTGAAGAATCTGGCAGTCTCCAAGTTGACACCCATGGCACCGAAAACGATGGAGAAGTTCTCCTCGTGGCCGTCGTGAACACCCTTGTTGGTGACACCCTTTTGCTGGACGAGACCAGCCTGTCGGCAAATCTGGGCGGCGATTTCGTTGTGCGGCAGACCAGACGAAGAGAAAATGGGGATCTTTTGGCCACGGGCGATGGAGTTCATGGTGTCGATGGCAGAGATACCGGTCGAGATCATTTCTTCGGGGTATTCCTAGCTGCCGTTAGCATTCCGAGTGCGACCGTGGTCTGGGGTTGCAACATACACGGGAGAAGGGGTTGATGGGACTGCCGTTGATGTCGAGGTAATCCTCGGCGAGGACCTTGGGGCCCTTGTCGATAGCTCGTCCGGAGCCATCAAAGATACGACCAAGCATGTCCTCCGACACACCGAGCTTCAAGCTCTCGCCCGTGAACTCGACTTTCGTCTGTCGTCTATTTAGCGCACGTCACCCAGCATAGAGATGGCGATGATCTCATACCTTCTTAACATCGATGCCTGACGTTCCCTCAAAGACCTATCTCCATCGTTAATCGGCATTGTTCGAACGATCGCTTCGCTTCGCATACCTGAACAACGGCTCGGTCACCTATGGTTATTGTCAGCACACGGGTCGAGTTGGATGCGGGTTGGATGGGTAAATACCTCGAGCCTCGAGGACCTGGCCCTGTCTGTTGGTTCCATCGGGAAGGGTCAGGGAGACAATCTCGTTGTATCTGGGGAATTTGACCTGCGTTCAAGTCAGCGCCCGCATTCGACAGTATTCTTCCGCGAAGTCGCAGCCGGTAGGGCGACACGCACATTCTCGAGAATGACGAGGGGTCCGTTGACACCGCCGACGGTGTTGTACCGAATTCTCGGCACAATCGAGTAGGAGGGCTCGCGCGGGTCACTCATTGCGTCGACAGTCAATGAGACAGCGCCCGATTATAAGAAATGTGCGGATGGAGGGGGCGAGGGGGTCGATAGGAAGGGCGTGGTCGGGCGGATGGTTGAGCGACGGTTGGTGATGCACCGGTAAGGTAGCTGAAGGAGGTTGGCAGGCGAGTGTCGTCTACAGCGATGCACTGGACTGGAGCTTGCTTCGTCTCGGTGGAGCCTGTTCGGCAAGCTGGTCACAGTGGCGCCGATAAGATCCCTGGTGCAGGCCAGCGCGCGGGCCTGGAGCTCCCAGTGTCAGCATGAACTTTGGGCGCTGAGGTGCATTGTGGCAGTGACATCACATGACTGGCACCTGCCTCCCCCCCGTCTGCTGCCTGTTCCAATGGACGTCTGCAAACGGATGAAGGAAGTGTCAACGGATGCATTCCAGCGCAAGTAGGAAACATGGCGAGGCATGTACTGCTTTGAACTAGGTAATTCAATTGAAATCGCTTGACTACAAATTAAGCGGCCGACGCCTCACGGGCTCTGGCTCCCAACACCGCCTTTCCAACGGTGCTGTCGTTGGACTTGCTCAGCTCCCCCGTGATCCACGCGCCAATATCAGACATGGCGTCCAGGTCGATGCCAGTCTCCATCCCCAGACTCTCAATGAAGTAGATCATGTTCTCCGTAGCCACGTTACCAGTCGCACCAGGGCTGTAAGGGCACCCGCCAAGTCCACCAACACTGCTGTCAAAGGTGCGAATCCCATGCTCCAGGGATATGGCAGTGTTGACCAGCGCCTGGCCGTACGTATCGTGAAAGTGCATCGCAATATCCTCGTTCCTGATACCCGCCGACCGCATGCAGCCCAGAAGCTCCTTCGTCCGCGGCGCGGTTCCCATGCCAGTAGTGTCGCCCAGCGAGATCTCGTCGGCGCCAGACTCGAGCAGGTCCGTCGCGATCTCGGCCACCTTGTGCGGGTCCACGTCGTAGCCCTCGAACGGGCAGCCGAGGACGACCGAGACGTAGGCGCGGACGCGGAGGCCGGCAGCCTTTGCGTCGCGGATCACCTCGCGGAAGCGGTCCAGTGATGTCGCAATGTCGCAATTCAGGTTCTTCTTGGAGAACGACTCGGTAGCAGCCGCAAAGACCGCAACCTCGACCGCGGGCGTCGACGGATCGGCCGAGGGCTGGAGCTGCGAAGCGAAGGCGCCGGGATACTTGGCCAGCAGCGCCTGGGCGTTCTGCAGGCCCTTGGTATTCGGTGCGAGGAAGGAGTACGATATTTGAGAGGGCGAAGAGATCTTTTTCGTGAGGATGTGCTCGAGGATATCGTTCGAATTGGCCATCTACAGGCATCCGGTATTAGCAACGAAGCTCTAGCCGTAAGTGCGATTAGGCTATTTCAAGAGCTCACCTGGGGAACCCATTTGGGTGCGACGAAAGAGCCACCCTCAATCGTCGACAAGCCCGTCCTGGCGAGCTTCTCGATCAGCTCGATTTTGGTGGCGAGGGGAATTGTCTTCTTCTCGTTCTGCAGGCCATCGCGTGGGCCGACCTCGACGAGCTTGACGTAGTTGTCGCGGGGAGGCTGCTGGATCGGACCGGTAGCGGTCGCAAAGGTTCGTAGAGGACGGAGCTGCGTCCTTCTGCACGCCCGACAGACTGCTGGACGGATGGAAAACATTTTGGGAGTTGAATTGTCGTCAAGAGCCAACGAGGGGTCGATCGGCAACAGGTCACAAAGCGACTCCAAGAGCTGGGGCCCAAGAGCTTGGCCGCATATCGTCGGCTTCCATCAGTCTTCGATGGACCTCGGTATGACCCAGGTGGCACCGCCTGGCGCCACTCAATGCCAACTATCTGCATCCCTGCGTCTTCGCGGACCGACTCCCGCAACTCTATCAACGCTGTTGACCCATATTTCTCGTGATAGCTTCATGAAGCTCACCACAGTACACAGCTCTTGGGGATGAGGCGAGGTGCCTATTCTTTGAGATGACATTCATGGCATTCCAAACTTCAACCACCGAACAAAAGCGTTTCAAGTTGCATTAAAGTACTCGGTAGCTCTTGAACATCTGCTCTAGCTAACGTACTGCACAGTTCAACACCATCCCCAGGATGCAGCCGAACGGCACAGCAAACAGAGCTGGTTACAGACTGAACCCAGCACAATTGAATCTGCTTTTTCGGAACTTAATGGCAATATATCTCTCTTCTTACTTAGCTACCATGCTACCTACCGTGGACTCGTTTCCGGGATATCGAGTCGCTCACTGACAACATGTAGTGTGTGTAGCCTTTGAGGTAACATACTTCAGGCGGCCATTTTTCTGTACCCAGACAGATCCTTCCTTCTGTCTCACGAGATCTGCTTGTCTTCAGATCGGGAAGTCAGCCTTTCATCAACCCTTTTTGCTCTCTGCCCTCTTTCTCGCCATGGGTGAGCTAGCAAGTGCGAAAACTGTGGCACACGCGAGCTCAGTAAGTGTCATTCCGGCGTCACCCGAGCCTTCGGAACTGGGGATCACTTCTTGAGTTGCACTCTGTACTACGAGGGGCCTCGTCAGACCGTGGCTGTAAGTCACCTTTAGGTGAAAAGTAAGGTATGTGGGCTAATGAAGATCCAGGTGACACTCGTCCTACAAACTCCGTACTACTTACGCAGCCCATTAGAATCGTATGCCCGCTCGCCAGAGTCAGATTGTCTGCCCAGCCGTCCGTCCAAACGATGGTCTCCCAAGTGCTCTTACCTCTCTCTCAGTTCACAATCGCTGTCTATCGACCTGGAATCAGCAAAAAGAAAAGGTGAAAAAGTAACAAGAAAAAAGAAAACGAAAAAAAGGTCAAAAAGTTCGGATCAAAGCCAGGGCCCTGGGTCAATCCTATGAAAAAAACCCAACGTAGGATTTTGCACTTAGAGATTAACGTGTTCAGCCATGCACGCCCAGTAACTGCGAGCTAGTTATCTGGGATTCGGAAGGGCAAGCGACTCACTCCTTGATAAACCATACAGTGGGCTGGGCAAGTCAAGCTGGCAAGGTGCCTCCGCCAGGGGTTGTCTTCGCCCTCGCCTGATCTACCGAGGCACCACCTCTTCACCCAGCAGCTTCTCAGGTACCCTCCCTGGTACCACAGCCACCGATACCGGTACCTTTCCTCGCCAAACGAAGGCCGTAGATGGTGCGGCTACGATTCCGAGGCTGAACATCCCCTATGGGGCGGCTGGTAATTTGGCTGTGCCATTTAGGCTTGCTGTCGCTGCTGTTCTGAAGACATCGGCTCCTTCTGCATGGCTCGTACTTTTGCAACACACTATCCATCCCCTAAGGACAGGATTTGGCGACATTTGGACACTAATTGATCAGCTACCTAAGTCGCAGCACGAAATACGAAGACGATGTCTTCCTTCAAGTGCCTCCCACTATCGGTATGGCGTTCGGTGACCTGTGGCAGCAAAACTGTCGTCCACCTAGTTTCTCAGGCAATGGCATTTCTCAAACACCTCACCTCGTCTGCTACCTAGGTACCTAGGTATGGTACTGAAACTTTGTCGCAATGGAAACCTCGGGAATGCCACTCATACGAAGCACCTGGAGCGCTGCCGTATGCTTCCGTATCCGGACCAGCTTTGCCAGGTATCTCTAGAAAGTTCTCAAGTCTACCGCTGAGTAAGAACAAATTTTCACCCGTGTATAGAGTTCAGATCTTTCGGTGTAGGCCAAGTGAAGATGGTCCATGGAAGTTATCGGGAAGAACCGTACGCAGCAGGTACTTGCCCAACCCACCTTCCCTCTCCACAGGTCACCACACTTTGCTGAATAGCGAATCTTTTGCGTCCATGACCTTGGTGTCAAACTGATTGGTGAGCAGCAAGGTCCTTCTTGTGTCCTATCATTGTCAGCGCGGTGCTGGGAAGGGGCCAGGATGAAGCCAGGAATGAGCGAGATTTTCAGAATTGAGGCAGTCACGGCTCCTCTGACCATAGCACCTACGTACCTCAGGTGGATGATTCACTTCCAGCAACAGCTCAGGAGCCATTGGGTTCCGACTGCCGAGCAAGGCAGGAGCGGTCTTGACTCGCTGCGCACACCACCGCGGTGCCTCCAACTGACTTTTGTTCACAGTGCTACGGACAGTTGGAAGAAAGGAAGGGTGTGCGCCGGGTGTGCAACCAAAGTGAGGCAAGGTAGACTGTGCAGGAGCCAACAGGTAGGGTGGGGTGTAAGTTCAGGGGCGTGTGGGAGAAACCTGACAGGTAGGGGGGTGGGCGAGAGGTAGGGGTGGCAGAGAGGAAGGAGGGCTGCGAAAGGGGACGTGTGAGGAGCTGTCACGATAGACTCAAATTCATAAGGGTGAGTGAGATGGGCAGAAAGATTGGGTCAGATGAATGAAAATCAAAGTTTCCAGGTGAATTTTGTGGCTGTGTCTAGTTGTTGTTTTCTCTCGGGGCGTGGGTGATTCCCAAGCAAAGAGCACGGGCAATGGCAAGTAAGTGGCCCGGCATTGCGGTGAGATGAAAATGCGCGAGAAAGAAAACTTCAGGCCGAAGAGGGAGGATAATATCGTCAGCTTCAAATACTACAGAGACACCAGCAGAGAACGCTGCAATACTCGCAGCTTCGCGATCGCCTCACGTGGTAGCTGAGAGAGCACGTGGGCCCCCGGCCAGGCAGTCGCGTAAGGTGAGGGCACAACACAAAGAATCGCGTCAACCGCGACCACAGCGGACCATACGAACTATAGCAAAAGCAGGATCCGGAGGCATATAGATCAACGCAGGACCAACTCGTTCGTCAGCGGTCAAGGGACGCCTTGGCCGCTGGCACAATGGTGTGAGGTTTAGGATCAAGGAGGGTGGTGTGGAGGATATGGGTTCGAGCCTACGCGACGACAGGCAAAAACTACCGATCGATCGAAAATTCCCGGCTTGTGCACCAGAGATTAGCCCACACCGGTGGGTGAACTCTTTTGCTATTCTTGACCTTTTACATTGCTGTCGCATTTCATTTTGTTTCGCGGCAATCGAATTTGAGATGTACTGCGTTAGATCTATTATTTGTGCTGATATCCAACTGGGTTTGAGCGTCACTTGTGTTGTGATATCTACCCCTGAAGATGAACTGCTGTGATCGCATCCCACATAAACAGACACTGGTAGACTGAAGCCCCACCTCCCTCCCATAGCACGACCTCTCCAATGATAACAAATAACACCAGCGACAGATACACAGCGTCAGTTTGTCAATTGGATGGGTCGCTCAACCTGGCTGGGCAGCGACTCCTTGGATCCTTCGTTCGCATTGACCCAGCGCAGGCGTTGCAATTGACAGCCGTCCAGACGCTTGCCATCAAGATGGAATCAATGCGAGTATCAAAACTATCGATACACTGCTCTCTTTTAGAAGAAACCCGTGGTCAAGCTAGCAGGATATAAACGCCCCCTGAGAGTCTGCAGACATCCAGCCATCGTCCAACAGCCGTTATGCCCATTCCTTGATCGCGACCGACGCATAATCCTACCTTGTCCTTTTCATGTACACTATCTGTCTACCAATATCATATTTCTCAGTCTCTCTTCGCAGTCTCGAAAGGTAGGGGAGAGGAGAGGGCGTCCCGTCTTCGGTAGTGCGGCACCAACCCGGATGTGCTCTCTCTCCCTCTCTCTCTTCCAGACGCTTCTTCGATGACCCAGATAGTACTACGGGGTGATTGCGAAAAGAACACCAAAAGGGTTGAAATCGTCTCCCAGGCATGAAATTTCGGCCCCTTCACACCCGGGGAGCATCCTGGGCAGGCAGAACAGGAGGGCCAAAGCAGTGCACCGCCACCAAGCTCGCGCTGTACACCTTGTCGGAAAAGATTCAGATGCGCACTTGACTCACATTGTGACGTTTTATTCGCCAATTGATGGCCTTGAGAGGCGCTGGACGCTCATTTACGGCCACTTACACTCCTATCCTGCTGGCTTGTAAACCACATGTCGTTGTTTTACGGACAAGGGTGCCTGGCGGAGATGGCTTGCGGGGAACCTTAAAAATTTCCGCGGACGCACATGTCCCCGATTTTTCCAGGAACACCCGTGCGAGGGCGTCCAGCAGCCCAATCAGGTTGATCGCTCCCCTGGCTCTCGTTACCAGTGCCTGACTGCCCCTGATTCCAATGTAAGCGCAGCGCCCCGATAATTTCGACGACATCGCTCGGCAGAAACCACTGGATGTTCTCAATTGCTCGCGACTGCCCATCCAATTTGAACCAGACTGATAGCATTCCAATCGAGTCTGTAGTGAGGTTTTTGAGAATTGTGACGGAACCCGAAAAATTGCCTGTCCACCCTGACAATTCGGTAAACCCTGGTGCCTAGGCAGGCGTGTAAGTCGACTTGATATGCGCATAACACCGTCATTTTCTGCAATTCTTACCCATCCACACCGGCAGAAAACCTCTTCAGCGCTTCTTTTTGCTTCTCTGGCGTCGTCAAGCTTTCCCCTACAAACCTTCAGCATCTTATCGTGTTGCTTACACTGTCTCGCTCGCCAGCAATGCCCCAACTCATGGCCAACAGGCTCAAGACTTACTCACTCGCCCGTATTATTGTCTACCCAGGTCCCGAACAAAATATCTGCTGATATCAGATATCTGGGGCCATTTGGTATTTTTCAGCCGGGTACAGATGAAGTACTCCAGAGGATAGCCGCGCATGGATGGCTATGGAGCAGGTCGTGCCCTCGTCATTGGTGCGCAGCTGCCAATGCCACATCCTCATCGAGCTTCAAAACCCCTTTGATCTTCTTCAGTACGGACTGTAAACTCAACTGGGCGGCGTCGTGAAGCCTCAAGTCGTGAACATAGAAGGTGCAATGTGGTCAACCCAAATGGGGTGGCAACTAGCCAGAGTCATCGGGGGAATCACCAGACAACTTCCAGGTGTGAAATGGCTGTTGAGAGTTGAAAGGTCTGTAAACCTATATGCCAAAAGCTCGAGAGGTTCCTAGTGTCACAGTATATAGAGCAAATCTCGCAGCTCGAGTAGTCTGCCTTGTTTCTTCCCTCCTCTGCATCCTCGTAACGATAGGTCAGATTCTCTCTAGTCTTCCATCATCTTCACGATAGATCACTGCCCTTCCATTCGTCTGAATAAACCGTACAAACGTGTTCGGTTTATACACACTTTTACTTCTAGCCCTCCCCCCTTTTACCCCGTGTGGCCTAATCAGCGGGCAATACTACATACACCCCCTGACTCTACCGACATATCGAAGCAATGAATTACCAGATTCAGAACGAGCAGTCTGGCATGGAGTGGGCCGTCAACCAAGAGGACTATCACCCCTTTGACACCCCCGCAGATCCGGAGGGTCAAGCCTTATACGAGGCGCTCATCGAAGAACTCGGAATCGAGTTGCCGCCCAGCAACCCCGAGCAAGGCATGGTAGCTAACGCTACTGACGGGGTGAACAATGACCAGGCTTCCTTCTACTCACAGGCCCTCCCCAAGGCCAACTACGACGACCTTTCTCGCCGCCTCTCCCGAGAAGAGATGGACTCCTTCACTACGAATACTTTGGGCCCCAACAACCTCTTGGGATTTGAGCGAGACATGAGAGTTGACAATGAGCAAGCTCCCGTCCACTCACAGCCCTGCTCCCAGCTGCCCCGCTTCAACTCCCCATACTACCCCTACGGTAACTACCAATCGAATGTTACCAACACCTTGCCCAGCCAGCCCAGCCAGTCCCAGTACGTCAACTCGGCTGAGCTTCACAACAACGGCAACAACGAGGGCAACGGCAACGATGAGGGCAACGGCGACGACAAGGGCATCAGCAACAACAACTTCGGGGTGGGTGCCCCACCTCAGCCTCTCATCGTCCCTGAAGCCCTCAAGCCCAACACTGCGGGCAACAGGGTGAAAAAGGCCGGGGGCAAGAAAACTGGCAACAAAAACGGCAGGAAGATCGGCCAACGTGCCTGCGATTCGTGCAGAAAGTCGCATCTAACATGCAAGACCGAGACGGGCGCCAATTCTTGCAACCAATGCTTGGAAAAGAAGACGCCTTGCAACCAGGGATCGACAGCTGACAAACGCACGAAGAAATCCAATGAGCAAGGTTTGCTTAATACTGTCGATGCATGTAAGAAGTACCTCAAAGATCTTCTGATTCTGATCTTCGGCATGCACGACGCGAAGCCGGAGATAAAGCAGGGAAACATGCCATTCATCAGGAAACTGCTATCAAAAGACCATCCCGATCCCAGCTTCATAGTTGAATTCTTCACGACTAAGCCCCTGGATGAGGTGACTGCCCAGGCTCGTGTTCGCCTGGATGCGCTCGCCAATCTGCAATTGGACCTCGAAGGCATTCACCGTGTTACCGAGATGCGCAAACATACAAAGCTGTGCATCGAAAGAACCAGGGAGCATGTCATAACGTTGGGGCGATACCTCCACGTCCTGATGGATGGTACATACGATGCTGAGAGCGTCGATTTTTCCTTGGCGACTGTTGTTGGGTCGCCGGCCCCGTTCAGTCAGATCGGCCAAGAGATAAAGACCGGATTCAGCCACTCTGATAGCGGCATTTATGTCGACAGTCTCGTTGGCTGTTTCGACAGAATGGTCGCAACCATCTCGGGCAAGTAAGAGTCTCCGAGAGACGTGAAGAGACGAGGAAGAAGAAGAGAGATGGAGAAAGACGGGTGGAGACAATGGAGGCGACGGGAACGACGGGAACGACGGGAACGACGGAGACGACGGAGACGACGGAGACGTGCGACATGACTAATGAGAACGATAGGGCCTTCCAAGGAAGACCAATAACGCACAACATACTCTATTATCACGAATTTGTTTGTTGTTTATCTTCATCTATAATGTGACGTGATATGATGACATTTACTTCCAATATATCTACTTGCGTCATTCGCAAACTTTCAGCTACTCACATCTATGACTCTTTCTTGCACCTGAAAATGGGAAAGGGAGGAATGGAGCCATCCAGAAACGTTCCCCCCAGCAGATTCTTTCCCCGAAGGATGTTTCCCAGCGACCTACGAGGGTGTTCAATACCCTGCGGGTGGTGAGTCAGTGAGTTCACCTCAGTTATCCATCGCGACTGCCCCTTTGGTCAAAAGAAGGCGTTTCTACTGATTGTTCTCTGAAAATAGGAAACCATTCACTTTCGGCTATCCAGGCACAGCATATATCAGCGGCTGTACACCCACACACACGACTTCCATTACCTAGGACGTCCCGGCTGCCAAAAACATCCAAATAGAGTGTTTTTAAGTACAAAACCACAGGACAATGACCCAGTCCCAGTCATTATGCGGCGGGCTGTTACACGAGATCCTAGCTACCATAACATTAGTGTTTGCACTCGGATCTTTGCAGAATGGGTATGTTATCGGTCATACTTGAGAGGAGAACTGTATTATCTAGTTGCATAAGTCGTGTATTGCGGTATTGCTGTCCACACCTGACACTTCATCGGCCATTGAAACGGTCAGTCTTTGAAACATCACGGAGTCCTACACACTCTGCGCAGAAGATCATTGGGGATCTACCAAAAAGGCCCCCAAGACTATTATTTACGAGAGACGTATTAGCAAAACCCACTTATATGGATAGAGCCGCTGACCAAGGGAAAGGGAGCAAGAAAAGAGAAAGTCTAAGCGTCGCATTGTATGCTGTACCAAGCCGTAACTCGCCACCAAGTGCGAGCCCACTTCTCTAAACCACCACCTTGGCGTCACTCTTTGGCCCCCTCTCTCCAAAAATCGTGCTTCCAACTCTGACCTCCCCGCTCCCCAGTCGAATGGCTCCCTCAAAGTCCTCACTCATACCCATGCTCAGCTCCAGCTCCCTCTCAAGCCCCAGCTCCTTGGTAACCAGATCCCTCTGCTCCCTCAAACACAGAAAATCCTCGTTCTCGTTCTCGAGCGTCGTCGCCTTGCTCCGCGCGATGGCGCCGATCGTCATCAGGCCCAAGAGTCTCAGCGACGGACAGTCGTTCTCGACAGCGCGGCAGAGAGCGACCGTCTCCTCGCCGGGGGACGCGCCGGACTTGGACTCCTCACCCGAGGTGTTAACCTGGACGTGGATGCCGAGGGGCGCGGCGTCCGGGCTGGAGGCGATGAGCTCTGCACGGGAGGTGTTGAGGAGCTGGGCCTTCTTGAGGGTGTCGACGGATGACACGCAGAAGAGGTTTGGGATCTTGGCGAGCTTCTTGGCGTGGGCTGTTGCGCTGTGTCAGTCCGTCTCATTTATTCTCAGTCTTCCTTTCACTTCGATTTTAAAAAAAAGTTGTCTCACTACGAGAGATGATGAGATGTCGTACAAAGGAAATAGGTCAACGTACTAGACTGCAAGCCGCCGATGAAGTGCCACTGGATACTCCTCGGCAAAAGCTCCGCCTTCTGCCCCAACTCCTGCGCGTAGTTCTCTCCGAAGTGAAGCTGCGGTGGCGCGGCCTGGTGAAGCGCGAGGACGTCGTTTGCCGGCTTCAACTTGGATACGGCCACCAAGCGGACCTTGTCATCGTCTTGTCAGCGACTTTTCATTCCTGATTTGGCGGGGGATATGACACCCCGCGGGAAACTCACATTGCGGCCCGCTGCAACGGCAGTGACGCGCTCTTGCACAGCCTGCAGCTGCGAAACGAGCGCCTTTGCTCTGGCGGGATCGATCTTCATTTCGGGCTGGGCGTCTGTCATTGCAGGGGTGCGGGTTTTGAGGAAGTTGGTGACGAGGTTCAAGAGAGTGAGTGACGAGTGAGGTTGGCGTAGAGTCATGGATTTCCAGTGTCTTCCAATGGAGGCCATAAAGGGCCTAACAATTGTGGGGCAGGTGGACTCCAAATTTGGCAGAGATGTGCCGGATCTGTGTTAGGGCATTGTTCCAACTTCAAAAATGCGCTTTCATTTACACGTCCGGTAGGACTTGATACTGAAAATGATCCCAGAGCTTAGAGCTTTTGCTCAATGCGTTGAGGAAAATATGGATTCAGGCATTGGTATGTATGAGATCTGACGCCGACGTGGGACAAACTCAGACGACGAAGATCCACGATGGATGGTTTCAGTTGTAAATATTAATTAATTAGAAAGATGGCGGCGGACATCATAACTATCCGAAGTAGACCTCTATTTACAGGATCAATTCAGCTTGTAGTATGTCCGCTCTCAGCAGAGCACTACGCCTCACTTACACCGTTCCACACCTAAATAAGATAAATTGCTTCCCTGGTCTCAACGTCGATGGGACCCAGCAAGTTCATTTGGGTAGTTGATGCTGACCGACGAGACTTCTTGGGGTTCTCGCGTCCCAGAGAGCTCCGTCATGGGCGACCGATGCTCGTCGATCGGAGATGGGTATGACGGCGGGGGCGTATGCCGACGCGTCGGGCTAATGGGGCTTACGTTGCTGACTTGATGCGATAGATGAGAAGATCCGTGGGGGTTATGGGCCTGGAACATGTGGTCTCCCGAGGAGTTTGGGCTTGCATAGGCCGAGTCGTGGCGCATCGCAGGTGCCAGATGATGGCGGATATCGTCGTGGCTGGAATGGGAGCGTCCCTTCCGAAGCCAGAACCACCACACCGCAAGTACCACAAGCGCGCCAACTGCGAATGATCCAATGGCAATACCAGCAACAGCGCCTATGGACAGGCTGGCTGAAGAGGCCTTGGCCTCTGTTTCTGCCTTGCTCTTGATGACGAAACCCCTGCTTTGAAGTTCGTTGTCGATGAAGCCCGGAGGGTCGCCCGTCTTGGTGTAGTTCCCGGTCGGATCGACGATCCTCAGCGCAAAGTTTGGGTTACTCTTTATTGATCCTTCTGTGAGACCGTCGCTCTCTCCGACAAACCAAGTATAGTAACCCTGGTTGCGGTTGTTGGCTGCTGTGTGTTAGCCGAAAGGAAAACGAAAAGGTTAAAATAACTTACTTATGAATGAAGCCACTGGAACGCCCTCATCCTTTCCCCAGTGCACCAAAACAAGAGATATGTACGGCACATTCGGAACAACCCAAGTGAGTTGGACCTTTTGGCCAAGCTTATACGTCGTGTTGAGGTTCTGAGTGGTGATTTGGGCCCCCGTCTGGTCGAGTTCAAAGCTCGCGGGGTTAGTGAAGTAGTCACCGCGAGTGGGAGTTATGCAGAAACACAGCAGGCCCAGCAGCACTTGGCCGAGCCAGTGCTGGCGATGCGACAGCATGGTGGATGATTCCTGAGAGAAGGAAAACAATCAAGAGGATCAAGAGAGGGGCGGATCGGGCCTCATAAGGTGCAAATTAGGCCCTCGCGGGGGGTTTTAAGCTCATCTCCTGTCTGCCTTGACTAGACCTAAAGAAGACACCATTCCATAGAGACAGGACATTTGGCATGGGGTTAGAAGCGAGGGTTGCATCCAACGATGGCCTTCCGGGGCCGTTCAATGGCTAAAGACCATGCTGGACTGAAATTGGATGCTGTGCCGCTGGACTACAGCAACACGAACTTAACCGCTAGGGCCAATGTAGACAACACGAGAAGTTCTCATCTGTAGCGGAAAAAGTAAAGTGATGGGGTGGGACGCAGTCATGTTGAGTTGCATCTGCTCTGACCGTATCATCAACAACAGGAGGACACTGGAGTTTCCAAGCAGGTCTGGAGATGTGGAGGTGAGATGGAGACAAAGAGGGACGGCCCCCCAGATGATCCACCAGCCACACTGTACCTGAGCCACGAGCCACTGACCCGCCCTTATCGGGAAGCTACGCAAGCTGTCAAGCCACACCACACGACTAAGGTAGGTACAAATCCCTGCAGCACTGAAAACGCGCCCAGGCCTTTGGGGCGCGGGATGACGGATGACACTTTTGCCCAGCAGCTCCTTGGTTGGTTGGTTCAGATAGATGCTGTGCCGAGTTCCCCTTGCCGCCTACCGTGTCCAGACTCCAGTACCTTGCCGTCGTCAGCGACGGGACCCCCAGCCAGGAAAAAAGGGATGAAAGGACGTTTATCGATGATAAGTCGTCAGCTCAATTTTCTCACGATCGCGTGCCTTCGCTCCTCCTCCTCCTCCTCCTCAAAGTTCCCTTCGAAGCTCCCTTTTCCTTCGTTTAAGATTTTTTGCGTTTTCTCTTCTTTCCCAAACCAACCAATTAGCCTTCGTATTTCTTTGCCATCCGCAGAAGCCAATTGTCCGTCTAATTGGCTTGGCCCTCATCAGAGCTCCCTGTCAATGTCCACCTCTTTTCCCAACTAAGCTTGACCCTCTCCGACCCGAATCGACCGGCCGACAATAGCCTCAATCGAACCCATCATCCCACCGGGTCCCGGCGCTCTGCCAAGCTCACTCTCTCACCGCCGCCGCTTCCGCCGCTGAGCCGGCCGCGAGACCTCGCCCATCATGCCGAAGCAACACATGATATTCGGCCGTCCCCTCCCCCGCTTCGGCACACGACGCATCTCATTCCTCCTCGTCTCAATCTCCATCTTCGCCGTCTTCTCCCTCCTCTTCACCCTGCCGAGCACCATTCCCTCCGGCCCGAGCCTGAGCAAGTACACCGATCACAAGTTCTCCATCCCGGCCGCCATCAAGAACCCCTTCTCCGCCACCAGCCGCCTCAACCCCTTCCGCACACCATCCCACGCACCCCCGCGCCAGCAGAACGACACCTATGGCGAGTCCTCCTGGTGGGCCGACTGGAAGTGGCTCTCCGTTCCTTTCTCCTCCTCCCTGACCCTCGACGAGGAGCGCTCTCTCCTCCCGCCCCTTAAGACCCGCCCGCCAATCTACTGCTACTACGATACCACCATCAAGAAGCCCGCCGATGCAAAGGATGCCGAGAGCGAGCTCCTCCTCACCTGGCGCCGTGCCTGGTGGGCCCGTGGCTTCAAGCCCATCATCCTCTCCGCTGCCGAGGCCATGAAGAACCCCCTCTACGACGAGCTCCAGCGCAACAAGGAGATGGACGCCGATCTCAAGACCGACATGATGCGCTGGCTTGCCTGGGACAACATGCGCGGCGGCCTGCTCGCATATCACACCACCCTTCCCATGGGCTCCCACGAAGATCCCCTCATCGCCTACCTCCGCCGCGGCGAGTACCCCCAGCTCACCCGCTGGAACAACCTGGGCAACGGCCTCTTCGCCGGCGCTGAGAAGGACGTCACTGCCGCCATCAAGGCCACCATGGCCAGCTCCAAGCTCAAGGAGACCAAGGACTTTGTCGCTGCTGCGTCCGAGGACACCTTCAAGATTGACAACTTTCCCAAAGCCATCGCCTACTACGACGTCGACATCATTCAAGACAAATACCCCAAGGTGGCCGAGGCCATCGCCGGTGACCGCGCCGCCGGTCTCAAGGGCCTGAAACAGCTCATCAACGCCCATCTGCACACGACCTGGCAGAACGTCTTCTCCGACGGCATCGCCGTCCTCAAGCCCCTGCCGCAGCACATGACACACCTCATCGACAATGCCTGGCACCTCGCCGACGACCTCTCCATGTGCCCCGAGTCCCCGATGCCCGGCTCCTGCCCGCCCAACAACCCCAAGTGCAAGCCCTGCGTGCCCGCCCAATCCATGCACATCGCCACGCCCCCGCGCTACCGCAACACGACAACCCTCTACACGATCGGCACCGTCCCGCATCCGTATACCACCGTCCTCCTCACGAATCTCAACGACAACATCGAGATCCCCTGGATCCGCCGCAAGTCCGACCGCGACGCCTGGCTGACTGCCATCACAACCGAGCTGATGGGCGTCGGTATCGGCTCCGAGCCCCGCATCCTGCGCTTCAAGGAAGCCGTCGCCGGCGAGTTCGCTACGGCCCACTCCCTCTGGCTGACCGCCGAGAAGGACCTGCCCAAGGACCTCGACTGGCACTTTGGCTTCGCCATTCCCCACAACGCCACCGACGGCACCTCCGAGACCCCCGTCCCCGGCCCCGAGCGCCGCCCGCAGCCCAAGCACGACCCGGCCGATGGCCCCGTCGCCTCCGAGGAGGAGCTCGAGAAGGAGCCGCCGCTGCTAAAGCGCGCGCGGGACATGGGCAAGACCAAGGACCCCAAGGACCTCGCCGTGCGCAGCGCCATCGAGGCGTGGAACCTGGCGGACACGGAGGCGTGGAAGTTTGCGAGGGCGTTCCTGGCGCGGAGGATCGTGGAGAGGAAGGAATGGGAGGATAGCGAGAGCCAATATGCCGGAGGCGTTGGCAGCGAGAAGGGACGGAGGCAGAGTTTGGGGGACCGCTGGCTTGATCGCGACTAAGATTGCCAAAGGGCCGTCGCGTCACCTGAGCGAATGAAAAGAGGGAAAATGAGACAGTGTTGATGATTACGCTGTCGTCGATTGTAGTAGTACGGTAGTACAGGCGTCAGGGGTGCCAGGATTGCGTGTGATGCTGTGTGTTTTTTTCCCCGTTGGTTTCTGGTCGGGCATATCACTGGAGTTTAAGAGTGTCATTTTCTCGTGTAGAATCGAGTGAAGAAATCCAGAAAAATCACGGAACGATGCCTCTGTAGCAATGTGTCGAATGGGGGCTGATGGCTTGTCTATTGTCTAAATCATCCTCTGTTTTATCCCCATTTTTTACGATTTTCTAACCCAGCCCATCTCGTCTTCGGTTCCTAAATTCAATTGACATCGTTTTAGATATGAGAAGCGAGATGTTGAATTCGCAAGGAAAGAGAAACAGGGGGAAA